GGCCCTGGGTTCGATTCCTCAGCACCACATAAGCAAAAAGAAAAAAGCCGGAAGTTGCACTGTGGCTCAAATGGTAGAGTGCTAGCCTTGAGCTGAAGAGCTGAGGGACAGTGCCCAGGCCCAGAGTTCAGGCCCCATGACCGGCCCCAAAAAGAAAAAAAACAAGAATTTCCAGGACTTTCCTGCTCAGGCTGGATTTGAACCCTAATCCTCAGATCTCAGCCTCCTAGTGTAGTTAGAATTACAGGCGTGGCCACCAAGCCCCAGCTTCTCCTTCCTTTCTTGCCCCCTCTTCAAGCTCCTATTCTCTCCCCGCACCGCAAGGAGTTGACTGTATGGGGGATTTCACAGCCCTATAATAAATGTGGAAAGAAACGAGAGCGAATGAACCGATTAGCCAAAATATCCTTATTTTCTTTTTACCAAACAAGGATATTTAAGAAAACAAAAAGATTCTCACCATTTGAATAAAGAAAGATGACTTTCACACCAATAAAGACGAAGACCATAGTCTTTAATTAAAGGCTAATACCAAGCTGGGAGGAAAAATTGAGAAAACCAAAGTGCATCTGAGTGTCCTGACTTTTCCCCTTCCTTCTTGGACTGGAGAAGACTTCAGCCTCTACTGGCCTGTGCCCCCCCAACATTTCATGGTCTTCCAACTTTTCTGAAGATGGTTGTCTGAGCTGAGTCACTGGTAAATATAGTAGGCCATCTTCCCCCCCCCCCCCCCATGAATCCTCATGCTAGTTCAGCTCTCAAGAGGAGGTTCATTCCAAAGTGCCAGACCCTCCAACCTCAGGGGCTGAGACTGGGGAGGCCCCTGGCCCTGGTCCAATTCTGGGAGGGCCAGATTTGGCTGGACTCCCCCCCCCCCAATCAAGAGGGAAGAGGGGGTGGGTGTCAAGCTCCCACTTCAGGGAAGGAGATGGGAGAGACCCAAGGACACTGGCCCTGGGAAGGGAGGAAAATCAGGCACCCTAGGCTGGAGGTGGGGGGCCGAGGCGCCCCGCTGGGCTGGCGCAGATAGGATCTGAACACACAGAAGCCCGGCCCTGGCTCTTTGATCCGCGGCCAGCCAGGCTGAGCCTGGACCGGGAGGGGTGGCGCGGCTGTCTTCCGGCCGGCTTTGCGCTTCTGCCAAGGGGTCCTGTGGGGCCCAGGGCTGGAAAGGCATCCAATACCGCCCCCCCCCCCTCCCTGATACCTTCTGTCCCAATTGCCCTCGGAGGAGGGGGGGGCACCTACGGCAACCTGTTGCGGGGTGAGGAGTGGCAGGGGCAGGGGGAGGGCGGTGGTGGGGGAGGATTGGAAGGTGAGGGAGGGAGACGACATTGCAGTGCACCGCCAACCAAAGGCCCACGGTGTCTTTTGTAGACGCCATGGCTTGGCTGGGGCCGAGGCCAAGTTTGTCCTGGAGGCCCGCGTGCCGCCCGAGCAGATGCACGAGACGTGGGCTGCGCGAGCCAGCGCCGATCCACCACCGGAATCCACCTCCGGGATGAAGTCGCTGCGGCCCCAGGACCCTGGCCTCGGAATTCCTAGCGGCCCACGTGGCTGCGCAGGCTCGCGTCCCCGGCCGCGGGTTCCCAGGCTGGGGGCGGGGTGGAGGCGGGAGGCTGGAGGACCCGCAGGGGTGGATCCTCCTTCTCCCCCGGTCCTCTGTGTTCGTCGCCCGGGAGCTGCACAGCACTGGTCATGGTTGAGTGCTGGAGGGGCCGAGCGTGCCAAGCCTGCTCCGTGTGCGCCTCTTGTTACCACGTGGGTGGGCGGCCTGGAAGGGATGAAGGAGGGGGCAGACAATGGGGGCATTGGGGAGTCCTTCACCCTGGGGCCCCAGGGCAGCCAGTTCTCTTTAACGGGGCTTGAACTCAGGTCCTGGGCGCTGTCCCTGAGCGCTTTCGCTCAAGGCTAGCGCTCTACCACTTGGAGCCACAGCGCCACTTCCGGTTTTCTGGTGGACTGAACCTGCAGGGCCAGCTTTGAACCCTGACCCTCAGATCTCAAGCCTCCTGAGAAGTTAGGATTACACAGGCGTAAGCCACGGGTGCCTTTGAGTGCAGCTTTGAGTATAGCCTCGAACCCTAGTGAGACCCCAGGCGCGCTGGGCTTAGGAATCAGACAGACTTCCTCCTACGCTGCCCCTAAGTCCCATCAACAGGCTAGAGGAGAAGCCTAGGCCCAGGGTAGGAATGTCTCCTAGGTGAGGAAGCAGGGTCAGGACTTTGCTAGAGAGTTCCAGCATCTTAGGACGTGATGGCTGGCAGGTTTGTCAGCACCTCTCTCACGCCGGGAGAGCGAGCCCTTTAAGGCTCTGCCCAGTGAGCGCGTCCCAGACTCTCCCCCGGAGAGGAGGGGGCGTGTCCGGACCTCCCGACCCCGCCCACTCACACAGACCACGCCCACCCGCGACAGGCCCCGCCCCC